TATTTATTATTATTATTATTTATTATTATTATTGTTTATTATTATTGTTATTTATTATTACTGTTATTTATTATTATTATTATTATTATTATTTATTGTTGTTTATTATTGTTTATCATTATTATTATTTATTACTATTTACTATTATTTATTATTATTATTATTATTATTTCTCATGCTTGGCACATTTAGTTCTTCACAGATAAAGGTAAACTGTACCAATTAACAATGTGTTAAGTTAGTCGCTTTAGCATTCCATCTTCATTCATCCATCTTTATACATTATTACATTATTTAACATATTATTTAACATATCCGTCTACTGACCCATAAGTTTCATTTTTAATTAAAATTTCTTAGCTGACTGCTATCGGTTATTACAGTATGATAAAATAAGCCTCCCATATGTTTTACATTAACGAGATCTAATAAATGTTAAGTTAAAGGATGAGTTCATTATATGAGGTTGCATTGAAAGGACGCAAAAGTTTACCTTTGAAATTCCGTAAAAATCGTAAAAGCTTTCACCCACTTCCTCCACTAAATCGTAGATGAAAAATTCTTGAGTCGTCCATGCCAATACCGTGGTATACTTCAATGAGAGCAGTAGCGCGGTAAACCACATAACACACCCTCAAACTAATACTCAATCGATAAACACCGCCAATTCAGTCCTGACGAATAACCGACGGATACGGATGGTACCAGTAATATTGAGAGAAGCTACTTCTCTACATACTATTCCTCCGTCCTCTCCTGTTGCCTCGCCCCGTGTTCCACCTAACACATCCGCTGAATACCCCATTCGTTGAATGAGGTAAATGATGCTGTGGGTGGGAGAAAGAAGAAATTAGAGAGAAATGAAAATGGCATATATGGATAGAGAGAGGGAGAGGCGAGGAGTAACGAGAAAGGAGGGGAAGAAGGATGATAGGGAGACAGATGGGAAAAGTGAAATTATTTATAAAGTCCAGATTGATCTCAGTTTCGGCTTCTCACCAGTAATCGCCAATGATATGACCATTTCGCACCGTTCATTTTTCCTGTGGATGGGAAATAGTACATTTGGAGAGACCAATAGAGTAGAAATGATGTTCATGGGAGATAGATAAAACAGTCGAAAATAGCATACTTGTTTGAGATGTAGCACCAATCAATGTTTTGAGAGGTAGTAGAAGATTTATTAAATAACAGTTATTGCGGGATGAGATTATTTGCAGAAAAACGAAAAAAATGTTTTTTAAGAAGACAAAGATTGATAAGACTTTGTGAGATGATGTGCAGGGAGGGGAGATACGAGAGCAGTGAAAGGAAGCAGTGAATGAGAGTGGTTTAGCAAAGACTTCAATGCAAGATGTGTTTCGATATTACAACTCCGTTATACACGTAGTCATAAAGTGGCTCACGTGAAACCGTCGAAGGTCAATATCATTCATTCCTATAGCTAATATCGCATTCTTTTTTTCCATCACATTGGCGGTAAGCCAATATGAGTCATTATAATATCGCTGATAATATTTACAGGAATAAAGGCTCCATTATCGCAATCGATTGCTGTGCACGTTTATTGATAACACTGCTTGACATCTGATCAGTTATCAGATATCAGTAATCTAAAATCTCACAGTTTTTGAGGAAGAATGTTTTTATTTTTGTTTTGTTTTTTTTTTTTTGAAGAAACAATCCGTGAGTGAACCTAATCAACCCAGCAGTGACTTTTTTTCTTTAATAGCTAGTGATAACGATCATACCACTATTTAATCAGAAGTAATGATTACAACTACTCTCACGATTTGATGAATCATTCAAGCACTCAACCTGCCAACAAATAGTCGTAGGTACTTTTCCTAACTATTGAGAATGACCCGTTTTCAATCAGTGAGATACAGAAAGCAATAAAATGAAAGCATTACATCCTCCGTTTTCCCTTCTATTCACTTTTATACTTATTTATTGAGATTAAACAGGTATAGGAACTAATCCTCTTTAGGTATGAACATCGGATCTGTACGGGTGACCCGAACTCCCCGCGTGTGTATGTGTGTCTCTGTGTCGCTTACCAGTCACGCATTAAACTGCAATGTATAATGAATGGTGTGATAACAGGATGATTCATCATTTCGAATTTTATTTAAACCACTAAATTTATAGCATACAGATTTACGATTTGACTTACTATCTAAAACATGCAATAAAAGCCAAACACTTTAATCAATTTCATGTAGATGACAGTAAATGGCAAATATGGTCAATATTTATGATGAAAAAACGCGAATGGAAAATGTTCTTCTATATTCGACTGTTGCGATGACAATTCGAAGAGTTAAAAATGTATGCGTCGCCAAAAAATGCACATGAGACATTTACAGCGAATTCATCTAGAAACCAATTCGTGATGTGCCTTATTTAGATGTTACACGGTTACTTTCAGCTTTGAAGCATCGTAGATAACCTGGCATGACAGTTGATATACAAAGGATTGAAACAAATTATTTATGAATTCGAAAAAAGAATCGAACTGTATGTGTTAGTAAGTCATTCTTTCTGAAAACATGTTCCACCTGACTTGTAACGATGCCTTCTTGACCTGCCATCATTTTAAATTCTTTTTATCGCTTACTTCGTGTGTAGGAAACTTTAAAAGCCGAATCTGCTCAATAGGATTTCAGAGTTGCTTTGACTTTGAAATGTTCCACTTGAAACGAATTGTATATATGAGCACTGGCTCAAAATGGATGGCTATAGTCACCAGTACATTGCCATTGCCACACAATTACCATCATTCTAAAATCGCATTTGAGCCTGCAAATAAATAACAAAATCCCGGGAAGACCCATTTATCAATTTATAATGCTAAGTGGAAGATAATTCAAAACTTTACAAATACCAATGCGCTGCCATTCTAAACCTCACTTTTCTTTTAAGCTTGAAAAAAATGCAAAATCAACTTCGTCTTCTGCGAAAGCATTTATAAAACACTATTGTTTTTACCACACACTGTTAAACAATCTTGCTTTACTGCTGCCGAAATAATCACTTGCAACATATATTATATACAGGATTAAGTGCCTTATCTCATACAATGACGTTAAATTTAGGTAATCACATTCAACTGACAATTCGATCACACTTCTTTGATCAGATAGAAAATTTTAGAAACTGGATTGTGCAAATTATCGTTGTGATTGAATGATCAATTAATTAATTATCATCACTCAATTCTTAATCTGTACATTATCAATTCCTACCATATGGCCCAATCGAATCAACTGCAAGCGGGAAATTCTAGAAAATATCCCTTCTCAAAATTCCAAAAAGCATCATTCGTAAAAATTTCAGAGAATATCGCCAATTGAAAATTCCAAAAAGCATCATCTATAAATAATTCTAGAAAATATTGCTTGCAGTAAAAGGCTCCGCTTGCAACATCAAGCACTGCAATTAAGATCGGTTCTTAGACGAAGAAATTTAGCGTACGAGTGCGTTTTGTCCCATAAAAAGAAGGAAAGGATGTGAAAATAGATAAAGATAACAATGAAAAACGCATGAGACAATGAATTTGAGGAACGTAAAATTGGTTGAATGATTCATGACATTGATACAATTTGTACGATTGATTTGTACACCGGTTTATTTAATCGTTTTATTTTATTTGAAGCTTCGCGATATTCGAAATTCGCGACACATGCTACGTTTGCGAGCGCAACATTTCTTG